AAGCAACATGTCATTTCATTTGTCTCAATTTGGACTCTATATTTTTATTTTATCTTAATTTAGTCCTTGTATTTTTATTTTGTCTCAATTTAGTTATTTTTTTAAATTAAACAATTTTGTTTCTCTCCAAATTCAAACAAAATTTATTTTGTATATAAATCTTTATAAATTATTTTATACAATTTGATATGATTTTATTAAAAAAATAAAAAAAATTCGAAAATAACTTAATTGCATTAAAGTTTTCAAAACAAAAACTAAATTGAGTCAAATAAAAGTAAAGAAGCTCATTTAAAAATTTTCTACAAAATTAAAGAACAAATAAAGTCATTTGACCTAAATAATATGAAGGGTTAAATATGTTTTTAGTCCCTAAACTATTGGCCGTTTCTGGTTTTCGTCCCTGTTTCAAAGTAAGGTACAATTTGGTTCTCATTCTTTTCGAAACGTTCGTTTTAGCAACAAATGAGGACTAAAACCAAAATTCCGAGGACTAAAACGAACGTTTCGAAAAGAATGAGGACCAAATTGTACCTTACTTTAAAAGAGGGACGAAAACCAGAAACGGCCAATAGTTTAGGGACTAAAAACATATTTAACCCTAATATTAATGAGCAAATTATAAAAGTTAACATTTAAATAACACTTAATAAAGTAAATTATCGTTGCATCACATTTATGACCATTTTATCATAAAACACAATAGTATCAGTTATTTCTTTACAAATTCTACATTAATTAGGATTTTCACATAACAAATTCAGAAAAAATAAAAATATAGGGACCAAATTGAAACAAAATAAAAATACAGGAATTAAATTGAAACAAATGCAATGACACGTGGCCTCATAGTATCACGTCACACTATCATTGCCACGTGGCACAAAATTAGCTTAACACGTGACAATTTTTTTTAATTTTTTTAAAAAATATTTAAAAAAATTAAAAAATAAAAAATAATAATTAAAAAAAATATTTAAATTTTTTTTAAATAAAACACGAATTGACATTGACATCTTTAGTGTTGTCAATATGAAATTAAAAGTAATGATCTAATTACTTTAATTTTTCAAAAATAAAAATCTAATTGAGAAAAAAAAGTTAGAAACCTATCTGAGAAAAATCATCTGAATGATTAAGCCTAAAAAAATTGAAGATTTTTTTTCTAAGAGGTCTAAAACAAGGGTTTTAGGCCTTAAGTTGACCCTATATATAACTCACCTCATCTACCTCTCACATGTCCACAAATGATTATAAACTAAGAGTCACTTAAATACGACACACACGATAAAGATAACATAGATAAAATTCATTACTCATATATTTCAACACATACATCATTAATCATATACATCATGTTGTTTGAATGAACTTTCTTGCTAGCAATCTCTACAGACAAGCTTATACTTAAGGAATATTACACTGAACGAGATAACCCCAATAATCATAAGTGAATTTCTCCCTTCCTCAGTTAAGCATCCATTATTTGAGTGTCCATTGAAGATTCTCACCACACTTAAGTGATACACACACATAGAAACCCCGATGTAACTACATGAATCCCCACAATTCCAAAATCCAAGCACATAATCATTAACCTTGCTTGAGTTACCAACATGTTGCTCAAACGATTTCCTCTTTTACGAGAAAGGGTTGTGTTTGTCTCTCTTACACTTGTACTGTAAATTATCTCTTAAGCTACCACTTAAGTTTTGGAGATTAATTAATATAGTTATTACACACAGCTTGAGGGAGATTCCACTTGAATGATATTTAGCTTGCGATAGCACCCGTTTTCGAAATATAGAGAAGAAAATGAATGAGGTTAGCATCCAAATTTCTTTATTTTGCAACATATATACTTCCTCTGCATTTTATTCAGCTCCCAAATAATTCATAACAATAGTTATATTTCATATTATCATGCCTTAAAATCAAAGAAACACATATAAATTAATCTAACCTTTCAACAATCACACCTTTCACAGATCTAAACAACTAATCCATTGATTAAATGTCACTATTAGTTCTCCTTTATCAGAATGTAGGGTGCCTACTAGTTAAAAGTTTCTTTTTACACCTCATTCGTTCTTTTTTTCTATTCTACCCTCATGCTTCTTTTTCTCTTTTCACAGTGTAATGATGCCCTTGCCATTTTGCTATAAGTAATTATTAATAAGTCAATAAGTAATTATATAACAATCATAATTGGTCTGATAATTTGATTTAAGATATAGGATTTAATATTCTTATTCTCCTCCTTCTCATATTGCGATAAATTTTATGTTCATTTTACTTATGAATTTTACTATCATAATTTATCCATAATTTTTATCATGAAATAATCAAAATTCAAAATAAATTACAAAATTTTAGAATCCATTTTATCACAAAATTTACCTGTAAATTACTAAAATATCTAATTACTTAAAAATTTATTGACAGATTATCAACAAAAATATTTATGGAGAAGTTCTAAATTACCGATTGATTTTATTGACAAATATAAATTATAAATTATGCACAAAATTTACAAATAAATCTATCGCTTACAAAAATATCCATTAATAATAAAAATTCTAAAATGTTTTTATAAAATTTGTTGATAAAATCTACTACAAACTTTTATCCATGAAATCAATTTTGTCCATAATACAATGCTTTCAATACGAAATTTATTTATTCTAAATAAGAATATTGTAAAATGTTTGTTTAATAGTGCAAATGTTCTTATTTTATTTTCTTTTATTGAAAAAGGAATGTAGCTCGGTACAATTGAGTGGAAAATAGAGATCCGTGTGGTGTGATACAGTGGTTGAACTATTATTGTATCAAAAATTGTAAATAGTAAAGCTCGAACATTTTTTTTTTCTTAACGAGAATGTAAATATTTAATATAGGTATTATTATTATTATTATCATTTTACTTTTCATATGTTAATGATTTTTTTTATGTTATACTATTTATAAGCTGATAGGGTTCTTCTCAATAGGGAAAAAAGTTGTAAAGATTATGAATAAAGGTTAATTTTCTTTCTATGTTTATTTTAATGATTAATTTTTATCATACAATTACTCAGTCGGTGCATATATCTAACTGTCCATTAAAGTTTATCAAAATTCGTTAGTTCTAAACCTCATTTCAAGAAAACAAACATCAATTTTAATCAATGCAAATAATATATTTATTGATTAAAATATTACACAAAAATATAAAGCCACTGGCTAAAAATATACATGTAAAAAATTTAGAATTATTTACAAATGTTTACAATTTATAATAGAAAATATTTAATAAATGTTTGCATGTTAGAATTTGATAATAAGTTTTTTTTTTCAAAAGCATTAGAGTATTTATTATCGTGGTATGTAAATTTCATACAAAAAATGCAACACATATTTCTATTATGTTTAATAAACATATTAAAAAGTGTACTTTATTAAAAAAATTAATTTTTTTATTATAAAATAGTCAAAATTTATATTTATTTTGATTTTTATATTTACATATATAATTAAATTTTAAGAATTTAATATATTAAATATTATTTATTATATTGTTATTATATTTTTTATGTAAGTATTATTCCAAAATTTATACAAAGATAATAACTTAAGCATCAAAAATCTTAAAAGCTTTACTCCAATTTTGTATTAAGTTGAGTCTAAACTAACAATTAAAACATCATAAATAAAGTAGATTGAATCTCACTGAACTAGTCATGTGAGTGACCAGTCATTACAAGCAATTCAAACTGATAATTTTCAATAAAGAGACTAAAATGTGAGCAGTAAAAAGAAGACTGGAATGGAAATGTGCACTTTCTGGAAGAAAAACAAAAACACACGACAAGAGACGGGTCAACGTTGCCTTGTGTCACCTAACTTTCCAGAGAATCCTAACACGAGCTGTAGGGTTATTATCAAAATAAAATAGAAAAAATATACATTTCTAAATGAACATATATTATTATTATTATTATTATTATTTTTATTTAACCAATACTATTTGCAGCTGTTGTCAAATTTTTCTGCTTGCCGTCTGAGACGGACCTAGGAACAAGCAACAACAAATTTGAATCATCCCTCACGTCATCGTATATACGTTAAGAATTAAATATAACATTATTTATCCCATTCTTTTCTATTTTTTTATCATGTCACTTATTGTATTCATCGATAGTTCTGCTTTTCATTGGTATTTTAGAAAGATGTAGATGTTTATCCCATTCTAGATGGATTTAAATGGTAGAAAATGAAAAGGAAAAGGAAAAAAATAAAAAAAGTAATGTAAATAATTAATATAGTAGAATATAAAATATTAAAGAAAACATGTTTTGAGATACCCATTTGTTGTAGAAAGAAGTAAGGAGATTCGGGATCAAATTAATCCAAATTGTAATAAAAAAAAACCTGGTAAAGAGGTCAAATACAGTTTCAAAGTGACTTTTTTAATCTAACTTTTTTCTATTTGATCAATTTAATTTGACTTTTGGTGTGAAATCACCAACACGTTATCAAAGATTCTAATGATATGTAATACCATATTAAATTATCAACAACTGGGTAATATAAACAAATATGACTAAGAGAGGATTTTAGTATTTGATTATATTATATAGGTGTATTGTAATTATATTTATCAAAACGTGGAAATAAATTTTATATTACAGTTTTCTAGGTACAATATTATCTTTTTTTAGGAAAAGTATTATGTAATTTATTAATGAATATGAGAGCAAAGTATAATATACTAATAAATATAAAAGTAATAATATTTTTTCATTTAAGATTAATCAAAATTTTAAGAAAATAAAAAACACAAAATGATTAAAAAATCAAACACCGAATATTCAAATTTTATATTTAATCAAAATTTACTCTATGTAAATTTTATATTTAATTAGAATAATTTTTTTAACCAAACAGCCAGGAAAAGGCACTGAGAATTAGTACGAAAATGTCTCGTAGAATATTATTACCCTTTACCATTTTCAATTCACACATAGAAATCAACCCAGCTTGCAAAATTTGTTGCTTTATGAAACACACTTTGAGATCAACATGCAACCTTCTTCACCATAAAACCAAAGCTCCAGCCTTGTTTTATCCTAACTTGAAAGAAACACACCTCTCTAATTTCTTCACATGGCTTCCCACAACCTCAAAATCCATGAACAGTGCACTGTTGCGCCTCCCTCTGCACCCCAAACATCCCTCCCTCTCGTATTTTTCGACCTGTTCTGGCTCAGGTTTCATCCTGTAGAACGCATCTTCTTCTATTCCCTCCCTGTAACCCATTCAAACCCATCCATTTTCTTCGCCCAAGTTGTTCCGAAGCTCAAAAATTCACTCTCTCACACCCTCCAACACTTTTCCCCTCTCGCCGGCAACGTCCTGTGGCCCCATGGTTCTTCAAACCCCGTCGTTCAGTACAACCCAGGCGACGCTGTTTCAGTGGTGCTTGCAGAATCCGAAGCCGACTTCGACCACGCGTTGGACAACGCACCTAAAGACGCATCAGAGTCACGTTGTTTGGTGCCCCACTTGGAATCTTCGGATTCTCATGCCTCTGTTATGGCTCTCCAAATCACTCTGTTCCCTAATAGAGGGTTCGCCATAGGAATCACCACCCACCACGCCGTCCTTGACGGAAAATCTTCAACTCTTTTCATCAAAGCCTGGGCTTCTCTGTGTAAAACCAATGATGATTACTCTGAGTCATCACCATCCTTGGCTCCAGAATTGGAGCCGTTCTTTGACAGAACAGTCATCAAAAGCCCAAGTGAGTTAGGGTTCGACTTAGAAATCGATTTGGCTGAGATGTTAACCAAATTGTTCCCAAGTGAAAACAGCGACGGAAGATGCTTGAAGCTTCTACCTTTCCCTCCAAGATTGGAAGAACATGTTCGAGGGACATTCGTGCTCACGGGACCTGATTTGGAGAGAATAAAGAATAGGGTGCTGTCCAAGTGGGACAGTGTAGACATAGTTGAAGCAGAATCAAACTCAAAACCAACCAAACTGTCAACTTTTGTTCTAACTTGCGCTTATACTTTTGTTTGCATTGCCAAGGCCTGGCACAGAGTTGAAAAGGAGAAAAATAAGTTTGCTAGTGGGTTTACTATGGATTGCAGGGCCAGGTTGGAGCCTCCAATTCCTGAAAACTACTTTGGGAACTGTGTGTGGGGGAGTATGGTGGATGCGAAGCCATCGGCATTTCTAGAGGAAGAAGGGTTGGTTAATATTGCGAAAAGTACTCATAGTAAAATAAAAGAGATGCTAGATAAGGGTGTTTTTCATGGGATAGGTAATGCGGCTCCTAGATATGCAGCTTTGGCAAAGGAGGGAGTTGAACTCTTTGGAATTGCAGGGTCTAACCGTTTTGGGGTTTATGAGAATGATTTTGGTTGGGGAAAGCCTTCAAAGGTGGAGATAGCATCGGTGGATAGAGCCATAACAATTGGATTGGCAGAAAACAGAGATGAGAAAGTCGGTGTTGAAATTGGGATTGTTCTGAAGAGACCAGTGATGGAACTGTTTGCCACTTTGTTTCGTGGAGGGTTGTCAGATGAGTGATTAACACTGGAATGGAACATGTCATTTTTTCATCACAAAACCAAATGTCTTGTGCATTTGCTACAAAAAATATCTTTGGTTTTCTTATTAAATGATAGACATGAAGAAGGTGAATACATGGATTTCCGGAGATAGAGAGGAGATACTAGTTGTTCTTTATTTAAAATAGAAGTAGTTGTTCTTAATTTAAACAGAAGTGAAAAAATCTTATGTAATATTTATGAAAGGTTATACATAATATATGATGAATAATTTATTTTTAATAGATAAAATTGTTAAATTATAAATTTGTTTTTATGGTCAAAATGATTATGAAGTATAATATAATTATTACTACTATTATTATAATTAGAAGTAAAACACAAAATAGCTTATATGATTTACCTCTCAAACCCAAACACACAGAGAATAAGTAGGGAGAACCGATTTTCTCTCAAACTACCGATAGTATGGATTCTCATGTGGTGAAATCGATTCCCTCCCTCTACATGCAGACCTCACACCGGTTTCCTCTACACTTGGTTTCTCCAGCTCTCTCTACTCCTCCATAATATATGATGAATAATTTATTTTTAATAGCAACATGTTGTTAATGATAATCAGAAATTAAATGTGGGTGTCAACTTACCTTGGTAACCAATATCTGGTTAATCATGACTGTTTTTCAAATCTGTTGAGAACCTTAGGGCACATAGAACCTTGATACAAACACATTTTTGTCCTGTTCGTAGCCCATATCTTCATGATGTAAACCCTAATGTTCTAACATATTGATAGGTGGCTTACACCTACTACTAACTAGCACACTGTTGAACCCCTCACACATATTGTTGACAAGAGTGTTAGATTGTGATCTAGGACTGAATCTAGATCTTGACCAAAACCTGGAAGATTAAAATGTCAATAAATATAAATGTCAAAGCAAATATAACAGTAAAAGCACAATAAGGTTTGGAGAAAAGTGATTACATACCTAGGTGGAATTGCAATCAAGTATTTAAATGCGCCTACATTTATCTCTTTAGTTTTTCTCATTTCAGCCTCCCATAGTTGTGGATATGTGGTTATTGCTACCCTCCACATCATACGTTTAAGGTCTTTTTCAGGAAATTTCTTTCTAAAGTTGGAATACAAATGTCTAACACAAAATCTTTGGTCTACCCCAGGTAGAAGATCTTGAATTGTTGGCAAAAGTCCCTACAATTTCAAATACTCATGTCAGCTAACTTATTTGTGATGTAGGTTGTAATTAACATTTGTTATGAGTGACTGACCTTTTTGTTGGTCTGAAATAAATGTACATGCTCCACAAACAACTTCCCCACCAAGGTCTGCAATGAGAAGCTCCAAGAACCAAGTCCAAGAGTCTTTGTTTTCTACCTCAACAACAACATATGCAATGGGAAGAATTTGTTCATTTCCATCTCTTCCAACTGCTGTTAGTAACTCCCCTCCATACTTGCCTTTCAAAAAGCATCCATCTAATCCAATGATGGGTCTACAACTAACGAAGTTATCTTTGAATGCTTTCAAGCATACATAAATTCTATTGAATATACACTCTTCATTACTATTTTCAACCTTTATTTTGACTGTTGAACCTGGATTTGCTCTCAGAAGTTCATGACCATAATCATAGATTCTTCTATATTGTTCCTTGAATGACCCCTCAACATTATCTTTTACCATGGCTCTTGCCCTAAAAGCCATATTTCTAGAGATTCCTACATTCCATTTCCTACTTACTTTGTCCCTAATGTCCATCACCTTCATATTAGGGTTCTCTCTGACAGATTTTTCCATCCTTTGACTCAACCACTTAGAAGTCATCAACTTCACATTACAAACTGTACTACAGCTATGATCATCAATAACTTTTCTTAGCTGCCATGACTTGGCAGCTGACCTGTAGGCACAATAAACATACCATTTGCATTTACCCTGGCTCCCCAAACATTTTACAGCAACCCTCCTTTTGTCATTCTTCATGAATTTCAAATTTCTTCCATTACTTAATGCATAAGTCCCAATGGATTCTGTAAATTCCTTTTTCTCAGTGAAATAGGTTCCCACTTCCCATTTATAATCCGTCAAACTTTTAGGCATGCTAAATGTGGGAAACAAAGTTCTCCGAATGGAATCATCATCGTCCTCACTGTCTGGACCACTATCCAACTCATCTGACACCCACTTAGTGTCAGACAAGCCACGAACATCATACATGGAATCATTATCAGTTATCCTTGATGACTCACCAACTGAACTGCCAGATTGTTCTTCCCTCACATTTCATTTCAAACTACCAATGTCACACTCAATGGTGACATCAACTAGACTTTCTTCACTCACAGACTCATCTACATCTTCATCCTCACCATGTTCACTCACAGACTCATCCTCACCATCATCTCCAGCCTCTTCATGCTCACCATCATCTCCAGCCTCATCCTCACCCTCATCATCACCCACATGATCATTTTCAATCTCATCCTCTTCTACATCTTGCAGTTCAAAATCATTTACATCATGTACCTCAACATCCTCTACATCATGTACTTCACCATCCTCCACATGTTCAATTTGTTTTGCAACTTCACAGTCACCCTCCTCCAATTCTGTTCCAACTTGAGCCTCAACCTCAGCCTCACAGTGACCCTCCTCCATTTCTGTTCCAACTTCAGGCTAAACATCAGCCTCACCCTCACCCTCAAACTCATCCTCATAGTGACCCTCAACATCACCATGAACCTCACCCTCAGGCTCACCCTCCACTTCTCTTGCAACATCAACTTCATCAGGCTCACCCTCCACCTCTCTTGCAACACCATGAACCTCACCCTCAGGCTCACCCTCCACTTGTCTTGCAACATCAACTTCATCAAGCTCACCCTCCACTTCTCTTGCAACATCAACTTCATCATTAACATCACCATCAACCCCATCACCATCAACCCAATCAATCATTTTTATTATTTGTGGTTCCATGGTATTATGAACCACGTACAAATGAACTTCATCATTTAACCTTGCTATATTCAGCATATGCATAGCACTCTTATCATCAGTCAATAATTCTAACCTATCTGGCACCACTGACTGACCTCCTAAACTGTACCAAAGTTCTTTTATGTCTATATAACTTAAGTCTTTAACTGAAGCTAATATTCCAAATTAGCACCACAGGTCTGGATCACAAGATCATTCTGTTATCTCGCCATCAAATTTAAAATTTCCATTCTCATCACTAACAAAATGACCACAATGATGGACCACAACTTTAATATGTTCAGCCATGCAATATTATAATTCAACCACAAGCTTTTAACACCTGTACATTAGGGGGAAATATTATTATTTCTCACTATTTACTAACTAAGTAAACAGTTAGACATCAACGAGACAGGGGAACAAACTAACATCCCCACTAAGGAAACACTCAGACAGAAAAGGTCACCACAACTTCTAAACAATTCATAAAGACACTTTTGGGACCACAACACTCTACACATTTCAACAAACAATGACATACCAATCTCGGGACCCATAACCCATACCAATCTCAGGACCCATAATAGAATAACAGTACCAAATCAACTATAACCTAAATGCACAAACATACCACTATCGGGACCACAACTGAAACAAATTCGGGACCACAACAAAGCATAAACAAAGCAACATAACTACATATTCGTAAAGGCAAAAAGCGGAAAACATAGGATACTAACCTTAACTGGCATCCACTTTCAATTTCGTTCCTCCACCACCACGTGATTGTCTTCGTCTTTGCAAAGTCAACCCAACCCTAATTCTCACACTCACTCACCACAACAAAATCCCTAACTCATGAAATCCCTAATTCCCATTTTAGTTTTTCTGTTTAACTTAAAAAAAAAAGCCAATCAACAGCAAAATCCCTCATTCCCTGCCACATATATTTTTTTTTCATTTTTTTCATATAACTATTATCCACGTATTTTAAATATTTTAAATTGAGTTCATTATCTGTGCACCATGTAATCAAAGGCAAAGACGTTACTGAAAAATTAATGGAGATGGCTTAATTGGCTCATTTTAACAAGTTTAAGGACTCGATTGAGACCGAAAAAACATGATAACCCACTTGAGATTGACACACAAATATGAAGACCAAACGAGGGTTTAAACCTTTTTCAAAAGTAATCATTCAGTGTGAATCATTTGTATTTGTAAGATTTGAATGTAATTCATGAAGTTAATTAGTGGGTATGTATGATGCATAGTATTAAATATTTTAGATGTATTAGTTTATTCTTTTGTTGTTAGTTTTACTTAGTATAATCTAAAGTTTTGAAATATATATATATATATATATATATATATATATATATATATAATATTATCGGCTTGTGTGTGGTTGAATTACATTAATATAGAAGATATGAATGATTACGAAAGTAAAAATCTATTGTAATTAATAATTACTGCAAAATAATATATTTTTAAAAATATTTTTGGCTTAAAATTTTATGCGAAAATATAAAGCAACCGGCTGAAAATATACATGCAAAACAAAGGTTTAAAATTCATGATAGAAAACATTATAAAATGTTAGCGGTTAAAATTTGACAAGAAGTTTTTTCAGATATTAGTGCATTATACCGTGATAACTCCCTCCACACATGTGTAAACTCAACTAAAAACTCCACCACGTGGTTAGTAGTGATTCATGGAACAATATGCATTTACTCCAATTTTGTCTTCAGTTGTTGAGTATAATAAACAACGTAGATTCAACCTCACACAATTGGTCATGTCGGTGACCAGTCATTACATGCAATTCAAACTGGTAATTTGCAATAAATATACTAAAATGTGGACAAACAAAAAAAAGACTAAATATGAAAACGTGCGCCTTCTGGAAGAAAACGAAATACGACACCAAGGCTGTGTTCGCTTGTAGATTCAGATTGTATTGATCAAGCGAATTTGCGAGCGAAGAATGATTTCGAAATCGTGTTCTCATATATTGATTTGAGACGATGGAAAAGCGTGTTCAAACGAATTTGCGTTATTAGCACGACGCTCTAACCAACTAAGCTAATAAGCCAATTGTTTATTAAGTGCTATTTTTATTTAAAATATTTTATAATTAAACTAATTTTACTTATGCAAACTTCTGAGGTTGGATCTATGGGTTAAATTATTTTTTAATAGTTTAAATATTGGTATACTTCATTATAAATATATTAATCTAATAAAAAAATTATTTATTACTTAACAAATGACATTTATTTATTTTATTAATACATAGTTAATTATGACACTATCAAAATTAGTATTAACTCAAAAGTAACATAATAACTTTTAAAAAATGTTGAAAAATCAATTTCAATCCAAATCAATTTTAAAAGTGATTAAAAAATTATTTAACCCTCGTACTAATTATTAGCATGATATTCTGACAAAAAAATACTTTTAAAAATAAAATATTATAATAATATATGAAATTTATGATGAAATTTGAGAGTTTTTTTTAATTCAGCTAGTAAAAAGAATAAAAAAAATAAAAACATCATTAAATAAGAGCAAAACAAAAAACATAGTTTTAGTATAACTATTTAATTATAAAAAAAATTGAATAAAGTAGTGTCTTTTTCTTTTCCTTCGTTTGAAAGTGAAACACTGTGTAACGAGAAAAGAGAGCGATGATTTGTGCAGCGAAGGTGTTCGTTTGGATGGATTTGCGAGCGACGAAATGCAGTGATTTGCGAGATGGGGTTATTTTTTCCATCTCGCTGATATGAGGAGATTTGCGTTGATTTCTTCCCAAATTACGTGTATGCCCTCGTGATTATGTTAAATATCGCGAAGGAAGGAAGAAGCGTGTATTGTTCGATGTGTAGCAAGGGAGTTGATCGAAGGTTGTTGGATGTGGTTGAGAAGAAAAAGAATGGGGTTGATTGCAGCTTGGTGTTGAGGACAACATGATAGATAAAACTGAAGTAGTTGCGCTTGAAGAAGAGGTGGTTCATGGGCGTGTATTCGGTTCCACAAATCTGGTAACCGGCTCCAGTGGTGAGAAAAAAATGAAGATGGAGTTGTATTCTGTTATTCCACTCTTTCAAGAAATTGCAGAGAAGAATGTATTCAGTTCTACGTTCTTCTCTTCGGTTCCAGCTTTGAAAAATGTGTTGTATTCGGTTCTGGTTAATGCGTTCTCCACTCACCGCCGCGGAAACCGCCACCTTCGCCAAGCTTGTCGCTGACAACACCCTCTCCGCGCACCTCCCAGACTTTTGCTCTGCCGCGCACTTGTTCTGTTATTCCAAATCTCTCCCTTTCTCTTCCGAACGCGTAAGTAGAGACGCCAAATTTGCTGTCTACAACAACAGAAACTTCTCCAACTACGGGACGAGTCGACTCGGTGTACTCCACTCGTTCAAGAACTACTCTGACAACCAGCGTGAAAACGTCCCCCAAAACGACTTCCGCCAATACAGTAAAGCCTCCACAAACCATATTGAGAACACGATATATCTCTCCCTGGAGCTTTCGAATCGCACCCATTGATCACGCTTCTCACTTCACCCAATGCCAAAGTGATGGTCCAATTGCTCTTTGATTCGGGTTTTAGGGTTTTTTTTTTCTGCACTCGCTTGTTTGCCTGCTTGCTTGCTCAAAGGATGCGAAGATTCTACCACGACATCACCGTTTCATGTATAAACTCTATTTTATTATTCGTATTAAAGGAGGTTAATTTTTTTATTTTTTCAAACAAAGTTTAGTATAATTAAATAAATATGAATCACTAATTTTTAAATTGTGGATCTAGTTTTTTTTACCATAAAATTTATTAAATATTTTACATTTTTACTCCTTTAATTTTTTTTTTATTTTTAGTCTATCCCATTAACTTTTAAAAGTTTATTTTGATGCTTTAAATTGTAAATTGGTTTATCTTGGTGTTTTTGGTAATACATATAATTTTTTAATTTATATTAATTTACTACTTGATAGTAAATTATATTACAAACAAATACTACATTTAAAAATAAATTTATTTTATGAACTTATAATTTTTTTACTTTTTAAATTTATTTTTAATTATTATTTTTAATTTTTTACTCTTTATAAACATTTTTACAATTAAATATAACATTAACAAATAATATTTTATATTATTTTAATAACTAGGGGCATTTTAGTAATCTTTAATTTCTACCAATTAAACTAATTTTTTA